TTTTTTTTTTTTTTTTTTAAGCTGCCTTCTCCTCATCGGGGGACAGCCATATATTTTTCTCTCACCTTACATATCTTTTAACTGACGTTCTGCCATATCATGGAACATATCTTTCTTTTCACTATCTACCACTACTCCTAACGCTATACAGGGGACCCCTGCAAGCATAGCTTTCTACCTCTCTTCCGTGAAGGGAGGTTACCTCTCTCGGTGGAGAGGGGTAACGGCATGTTTGCCCCTTTGCCCTAGCGTTTACGGTGCAGGGTTGGGGCCGCCGGTGGGGACCTGGCTAACACAAGGACCGAGCACTTGCCAGTAACTGAGCCTCCCTTTTCATCTTCCCCCACCCCCATCGAGTAACAGCAGTGTCTAAAGGCTAAAGCCAACACTCTCCCCCACACCACACGCAACCCACTCACACACGCACTCACACCCATGTTGACTGAAGACCTCACTAATACCGACTGGGACGATCCAGCGGACCATCTAAGTTGGTTGGCACCAAGAGTGCTAAAGGCATCCTTATAGTTTCAATTATATGACATTTGTTGTTTAGGTCCAGTCGATGAAGCTCAGTGGTTAGAGCACCGGTTGGAAATGCGCATTGTGGTATGAGGTTGCGGGTTCAAAACTCCGCAGCCTTGTGCATGGACACCAGCAGGGCGTTAGAATGACGCACGGCTGGACACACACCCCTTGGGATGACGCAGGTAAGTTATTACAGACTGCCTGCGCACTACCCAAGGGGTAGTCCATGGTTGTTGTATGTGGGGACTGGGCGATGGTGGGTATCCTGATGTTCTTGCTCTACGGGGTTGTCATCAGACTGCTGGGTGGTATGCATAGTCCTGTTTACTTGAGCCCAGCAGAGCACAGCTACAGACTATTTCACAGTGTAGGTCAATAGGTTAGGTCACTTGCACGATTCACATAAGCTCTTGTGTTCGATACCAGACTGTATCTTAGGGCTGGTCATCCTCTTAGTACGTGGTCAACGGAGTGAGGCTGGCATAGCAGTTCCTTAGTACGGGATGTCGGGAGTGCGAGGACATAATGCACTTTACCGCAGGGCCGGAATGGGCTCCAAGGACATGCAAGGGAACACAGGATTGTCTGCTCTCAGATTACCATACAACACATGGCTTATAGATCATCCAGGGTCAATACATTTAGTCCATGATTCACGATTGAGGGTGGGCTATCCTCCTAGTACGTAGCTTAGAGTTGAGGCTGGCATAGCAGTCCTTAGTATGGGATGTCGGGGGTGTCAGGAGATACTGCACCTTACCACGGGGCCGGAACGGGCTCCAGGGATATACGAGGGAACGGAAGATCCCCATCTCTCTACCATCAACACCATAGAATAGTGTAGTAAGACAACATAAGGATGAGAAACTCAGTCCATAACTCATGACCTAGGGTTGGCTATCCTCCTAGTACGTAGCATAGGGTTGAGGCTGGCATAGCAGTTCCTAAGTACGGCATGTCGGGGGTGTCAGGAAATACTGCACCTTACCACGGGGCTGGAACGGGATGTGACGCCCTAACCTCACGCCCAGCGCCACTTCCTGTTTTCGGAGTGTTAGTGGGCCTGGAAGCGCGAAGAGATGTGTGCCAAGGATTTTTGGAAAGTGGGGGTGGAGTTCCTGGTCGGAACTGGAATCTCCTGTGTCAAGTTTCAGGGGTAGAAGTGCAAGTGGTTCCTCTAGCTCAGAGTTGGGGTGGGCGCCGTTCCCACTGTCGGGGTCGGGGAAGAGTCGGGTGCACGAACGGGGTGTTGCGGGCGTCAATGTGGGAATGCTCGTACCTCTGTCGTCCGACGCAGAACTCAAAGCCAGAGTCTGATGAGGAGGACGAGCTGGGTTCTCGTCGTTCTCTCTAGGGAGGAGTCTGACGCGTGGCCTCCATCGGTTCGCAGTCGTTGGGCTGTTGGCACTCTGGGCACGGAGGCCGGGGCCAAAATCGGGATATGGAGTCCCAAAGGGTAACTACCAGTTGGTGATACGGGAGGACGATGTAATGGGGAGGGAAATTGGTCGTGATAGCGACGAAGCCTGGGGTGATAAAGTACTGCTGGTGTCTACTGTCGGGATACTCGGGAATTCGGGAGTCCCGGTTGATTGCCAGCTGGAAATCGCCCCTACACAGTCGCTCGCGTTCGGTTTGGCCGGGGTAATCAAGGTTCCGCAAGTTTTGTTGCTGTCTGATCCGTGGCTGTCGGACTTGTTGTCGTCGGATCTGTTCCCTTTCCCAATGTGTCCTATACTCGGGATCTCTCAGACTTTCACGATCGGTAATCCAAAAAGGAGTTTCGACCGCCATATCCGGATCAACGGGACTCACTCACCCACATCATTCCTACGTGGCGGGATCGTAACCAACCCCTGCATGCGTGCGTCATAGATAGCGAATCTGTTGATGGATTGCTATCTTCCGCGCGCGTACGCATTGGCCAACTAGTTAAGTCCTAAGCTGCGCGTTCTGATGGCGAAGTAATCTATTGGCGCTTGGTCCGACTGGGCATGCAACCCTGTTCCCAGAACAACCCCTCCCTGGTTATATCCGTATGCATCAGAGAAAAGAGGACATCAAACATTCGAAGAACAGACATATATTCCCAGCAATTTCCGTAATTCTTACACGAACACAAGTGATTGGGCTAATGGTGAGCGCACCAACCCGATCTGAGAGAATTCTGACTCGTAAATTGATACACACGCTGCGATGCCGAAATGCCGAAAAAGCGACGAAGTTAAAACCACACTAATCTACTGATCACAACAAAATGAAAAAGCAAAGGCAAATTGCGAGAAAGGATGCGAGATCATTTGTCACCATACATACATACATGCATTCCAACAAAGAGATCTGAGAAGATTCACACAGGAGATCCGAAAAATGCCGCAACAAAATTGGCCAACGTTGGAATCAAAATTTATATAGAAAGGAGGGAGGAAAGGACATTGTTCCACCATATGCCACGTCTCTCTCTCTCTCTCTCTCTCCCTCGATGCGGGCAGTCCGTCACCGCGCATCCCAAAGACCTCACATAGTCGTCACCCCGCTTAGCCTGAGCGTGCAAGCCAGGTTCGCCCACGTGCCATAGTCCCTCGCGGCCACACGTCAACCCCGCACACTCAGCGTCTCTCTGTTCGTTAGCCGATCCTCTCGACCGCACTAACTCCCAAGTAGATTAGAGAGATAATTAATCGCGCAGAATTTATAGCTTGCTAATCAGCGCGCAATAGTCGGGATTGCTGGAGGAACAGGAAAGAAGAGAGAAGTGCCTACGGGTGCATGACTGGGCCACGGCGTGGGGGACGTAGCCTCACTCCACGCTTCGATCCAACCATGCAAGGATTTGACCAATGAGATAGGAGGTAGAGTGCGCATGCAGTGACGCGGGAAAGGAATTAAATTTTCAAGCACAGGGAAGATTACAGTTACACCTGCGTAGCGGGGAAAGAACAAGAAGAGATTACAGTTGAGATTAGAATTTGGGAACGGCGGGAACAGAGCGCAAGTCCCTGTGCAGCAAAGCGCGCGCGCAAGTAAGAGGCGATGTGCAGTTACGAGCAAAAATTCCAACGTACCCAATTTCCTACTCTGATTAAAGTCCTAATTATGAAAAGAAATTCCGAAAGCCCGCATGGGCTCATTCCAAATTAAAAAATTCTGAAGAATTACCCTCGCGATTATTGCGCAAAAAAGATGGACGCCTTATTTGAAAACAAAAGAAAAAAAAGAGAAAAGCGATAAAGACCGTAGCAGAAGTTGTTCCCCTTCCGCGCTCGATAAGGTGCGGGCCTATTGTCCCAACGTCCATAACCGCCACCGTCTCTTCCCGAAGGACCAAGGAGAAAACTTTGAAAAATCAAGAAAGAAGGACCACCATGCAATTTATCCCCGATCCCTCTGTGTACCCCTGATCCCGGTTACGTAGAAGATGGCTCCTTTCAGAAAGTAGTTCGTCACATATGTGACGCCCAGGGGGTTACATCCTGTGCAAGCTCCTACTTGCACATACATCTCCCAAGCTCGAAGAGGAAAGAAGAAGGAAGGGAGAAAAAATTTCAATTCCACCAATATTACACGTGTCGTTACCGTATGATAAGAGTTTGGACGTCATCCCTTCGACACGCCATTCGAGCCGCCCTTGTTTCAAGAGCGGGGGAGTCGGAAGATGGTGGGGATAGGCGGGGGAGGATCATTCGGGAGAGGCAGTAAAAAATTCGCCATCCCCATTACCGTTTCAGGGAGCTCCTGGTACCTGATGATGGGATGGATGCGGGGGAAGCGATTTAAACCTTAAGGGAGGGAGGCAAGATAATCGGGATAGAGGATTGAGAAGGTGCGAAGCAGCGCCACGCGGAACTGCTCATGATATGCACACATGGGGACAGGTCCCGTGATGATGCAGTAGATATCAATGACGTCCTGGTCCCGCCACGCGGCGCTGATCAGAAGGACGTGGAGATAGAAGGAAGAAGAGACACATTGGGCGGCGGGGTGCGGATATACGTCGGCGACGAGGCGGGTGGCATAGAATTGGTGGAAGGTTGAAGAAGGAAAAGGATTGGAGGGGAAAGAGTGCAGAGTGTAGATCTGTCGGAAGGTGGTGTAATCAAGGGGACGGTGGGATAGGGAACGGGGACGTAGCCCGATGTCCCGAATTGCCACGAGCTCGAACTAAGGGACGGGGGGAAAGGGACTCGGAGGGGGAGCGGGATCGCCTGCGCGTCGCCGTGCCAGAAGTCTCTGCATGAGGGTGCTCATCTTCCTTGGCTGGCGGCTCGGGATCTTTAGTCGGGTCGTCCGGAACAGGCAGATCGACTCCCACCGACAGCTCCAATGGCCGCTTTCCCTTCGCGATGGCTGCCCTGCGACGCTGTGCTTCTGGATCCTCCTCCTGGGCTTCCACCTGCTCCGCTTCCTCTTCTCCGACCGCTTCTTCTCTGGCAACTTCTTGCTCTTCTACTTCTTCTTCTTCTTCTTCTTCTTCTTCTTCGCTCACCACCCCCGCCTCATGCTCGCTATGCTCACTATAATCCTCGTCCTCTTTAGAGGTCTCCTCCTCGTCTTCTTCCTCCTCCTCTTCCTCTTCTCCCCCGCTCACAAGGTTGAAGAGAGCGTCCGCAATCGTCCCGGGATCCAGGTAGCTGTGCGATGGGTAACAAGCGTTGTCGTCATCGCCTTCCAGGCATGCTGACCATTGCAGATACGGCACCAGGCGGCGCGAGAGGATATGTGGTACTGGACTCTTGTCGAAGTGCGAGATGACGTCAAGCGGAAGGTCGTCGAGTAGCTTGGTCTAAAGGACCAGCAGTTCGACGTTTATAATCGTTCGTCGATGGCCTGTCTCGACCGATCCGAAGACGAATCCTAGAAAATCCCCCTCCGTGTCCGTCCTCCAAGCTTGAATGAGTAGCAGCTCGACGTTCTCACTAACAGCGGGCTGCTCACCATCCTTCCACCACGTCAGATCGATATCCACTAAGCACAGCGAAAGAGTCACGTACGTCTGCCACCACCTTAGCCACTGCTAAGGCTTGATCCTTGGAAGCATAAGCGGGCGTACACATAAAGAGAGGTGGGGATGGAGGGCGGACTGCCAGAAGAGAGGAAAGGCAGAGGGGAGGCTGAAAGTAGAGAATCTGGAGCGGTTCATTGGGGGCGCGGGAAGGGGATAAGCTCGAGGATGAGCACCGCTAGTGCGTGCCGAGAGAGGCGAATGCCGTCTATGTCAATACTGTCTATATTGACGATGTTCTCCCCCCGCTGCGCAAGCATCTGACTCCACACCCTCGATAATTGCGCTCCCCACTCTCGCAACGGGTCAAGGATGGCCGTATGCGTTCTGGGATCGAGCGGCGTAAGATCCCCGCTGAAGATGATGACTGTCGAGATGTGAGCAGTTCCTGGTGCCAAGAGCCGACGGTAAGCTGAGGCTTCGGCCAACACGTGTGACCTACTGTTGGGGATCACAAATCGAAACTCTGCCGCCGCATAGAATCCCGTTGTACTGAAGAACTGGGCGAAGCGGAGAGCGTCCAGGCTGATGCGCGGATGATACACTTGCCGAATCGACGAGATATGCCCACCTGGCGCCAACATGCGTTCACTGAGTACCTGCTCCGTGGAGAAACTCATGGCGAAGAGGACGCAGAGGAGGGAGAATATGAGCGAGTAGGAGAGAGAGAATGAGGCTCGTCACTATCCCACTCGGACCCTGAAATCAACCCCGCTGGAGAACGAGGGGAGGAAGTCGAGAGATGGCGGAGGTAGGACACGTGGCGAACGATAGGCCTAGCCGACCGGCTACCGGACACCTCAGGAGCAAGCCGCACCGTGTTCACGCCGTTAGGACCGAGCTCGATCACTCTGATGCATCCATAGAATCGTGGCGCTAGCTTGCGCTGGCGCGCACATTTCCTTACCTACACCAAGTCCCCCAATTTGTACTGGGGCCGAGGGCCAGCATTCCCATTTCGGGCCTCATAACTCCGGACCTGGCGTCCGCGGGCCAATTCAATCATACGCTGTCCAGATGGCGCTTGGCCTTGTCCTTGGCCGTCGCCCGCATGGGACGTTTGTCCAACGCCGTTTCGTCATTTAGGTTCGGTATCGAGACACAAGATAGGCTGTTGGTACGTAGCTGGAAAGGTGAAAGTCCGGTAGATTCATGCGGGGTGCCTGGTGTATAGCTAAGATATGATCTACAATATCAGGCCACTGCCGCGTGTCCTTAGCTGCAATATTTTGTCGAAGTGCCGTTTTAATTCCTCGGTTGGCATTTTCCACGAGGTCGTTCGATTGAGACATATGGGGAGCCGTGTTACGAATAGACACCCCGTGTACGACCAGGTTCCTCATGACTTCTCCCCTAAATTCTGCTCCGTTGTCGGTAAAGATTTCCTCGGTGTCCTGATGCATCCCGAGGAAACGGTTGACATGCCGCGTTATTTCCGCCGTCTGTCTTGTCCGACACGGGTAGGCCTCGATCCACTTTGAAAAGTGGTCGACGGATAACAAGAGAATTGAGTATTCGCAACTATTCGGTCCAGGGGGGACAATAATATCCAGCGTGCCCATGCTAACCCTCTGAAATAGCCGTTGGACTATGGTGGGCACTATCGACCTGGGTGGCTGAATCGGTGCCTTGTCGGTCGCACAGACAGAACAATTTTTAACAATATATTTAACGTCGTCCCTAATGTTGGACCAATACCATTCGTTCTTGCCAATGGCGGACTCGGTGATCCTGACCGCGAAATGGGCTGTTGTCTTTTTGTGGGCTGCCTTAACCCAGTCATACCTCATGAACGGGTGCAGAACTACCATCCATATTCCGCTCTCGTCTGTTTTCCGCTTTTCTAACCGTCCCTCATTCCACCTATAGTCCCGTGCTCTTTCATTGGACCGTCTCCGATCGTCCTTCGAGAATTCTCGAAGAGGGTTCCCTACGACGGTCGCTATCAAAGCGACATCTGTCCACACCTCTGCCCGTCTACTCTGTAAGATCTTTTCCAGTCCTTTCGACGTCGCTTCCAAGAATCGAGCCTCCGTCGAAATCTTGTCGGTACGGCACATGTGGCAGAGCCACCGTTTCTGCGGATTCCTATACTGGACGCATGATCCATAGTCCCTGACTACGCACGTGGCACACTCTACCCACTCAACGTACCCGTCGTTTTTTGGCTTGACCGAAACAGAGTGGATGCGCGAGATGGACTCACACAAAAAATAGAAACGATCGGGGAGGGAGAATAGAGAAGAGGAAGAAGGAGAGAGTGGGCCCTCAGGGTTTTCTTCTCTCTGGGCCGCCATAAGGACACGTGACAGTCACTTCTTCGCCTGTCGAGGGAGAACCTTCACCTGGCCGTACCTGGGTCCCTTGGGCTATTCCAGGTCCTTCCACGGAGTGATCTCTTCGTTGCGTGGCACCTTGCCTGGCCGGTGCATTCGTGTCAATCCGTCGGCGTTCCCGTGTCTTTCCGTTTTTCTGTGGACGATATCGAAGTCATACTCCTGCAGCCTCACCGCCCATAGCCCAATCATTCCTGTGTAGTTCGTCAGCTTCTTGAGGGCCAACAATGGCTCGTGATCTGTTACGAGGAGGAACTTCTGCCTGTAGGGATACGGGTGGAAGTGCTGGATTCCCCAGACGACAGCGTAGGATTCTCCTTGTGGCGCCGAGTCATTCTTCCTTTCGTCTGACACCGTCCTCGAAGCATATTCGGCCACGTGCTCCCGCCCGTCTTTCCCCTTTTGAGCTAGGATAGCGGAGATAGCCTCGGGCTGTCAGTCAGTAATGAGTAGGAACAAGCGCTTGGGATCGGGCCGGATTAAAATAGGGGCCGAGGCCAGGGCCTCCTTCAAAGTGCAAAAGGCTTGCTCACACTTTGCGTCCCAGTTCAGCGGCTGGTCCTTCCGCAGGAGGTTCGTCAGGGGCCGAGCGATTGCCGCAAAGCCCTTGATAAACCGTCGATAGTACGAGGCCAGTCCAAGGAAGGCTCGAACCTGCGTCAATGACGTGGGCGTGGGTGCTTCCCGAACAACCTCGACCTTCCTCGAATCCGGTCTGAAGCGTGCTCGGGTTACCACGTATCCCAGGAATGAGATCTCGGACAGGAAGAATTCACTTTTATCCAACGCAATCTTGAAACCGGCGTCCCACAGCGCGCGAAGTGTCCATTCAATATGCTGCGCGTGTCCATGGAATGATTCCTGCGTATACGCCTTTACGTATACGGGCCGTACAAAAGTACATATGACCGTACATATGGGCCCCTACACCCCCGTAAGGGCCGTACGTACGGACATCGGGCCCCTCGTGCGGGACCTTTCGGGGGGGGGTTGGGGGGGTGGATGGGCCGAGGGGGGGTCGGGTGTCG